CTTCCCTTTCCTTGCGACAACAGCTCTGAGAGTACCACTGAGCTCCTGGAGCCACGAGACGAGACGCGTGGGGAGAGCTCAGGACTCCCTAAACTAAGGCAGGCCACTCTTGGTAGAGCTGAAGCTGGAATTGGTCCTGCTCCGTGAAGACGCCCTTAGGGAAACTTGGACTGCTGCCTCACAGGGTCTGCAGCTTGCTCTCCTAGCTGTTTTGAAGAGCAGGTAAACAGGCAACAAAGCAATGCACAGGATACCCCAAGCAGCAGCCTACGATTTGATCGCCTCTCCGAGTAACAGGAGGTCTTAGTGCCTGCCAAGCGCTAAGGAGAAGGCTGGCTCTTTCACAGTTACCCATCCGTTCCTCAGAGACGTGCTGCACAGCGGGGCCGCGCACCCCACAGACTGCTCGGAGCCCTGCCGCGCTGCTCTGCCTTCTCCTCCCTTGCGAGGAGCTCAAACCCCGATCCACACGGTCTCATCGCTTGCCTCTTTCACTGCACTGTCCGAATGGGAGGAGATGGTGGACTGGGGAGACCTGAGACCAGACTCGGTGATTTATCTGGAGGGATGCGTGTGTACCCATCTACTTTTTTTTAACAGCTAATTTTCTTGGCTGGTAGCTATTATTCGCAGAGTTTAATCCAGGAATTGACAGCATTGAGTCTTAAATATTTTACACTGATCTTGCCAAGATGAAATAGCACGTTAAACACTGTTAAAGTTCAGAGCAATTTTTAATTTAAAAAAATGACCATTTTATATTATTTATATGCTTAATGTTTTTAGATAAGGTATTTCCCCTAGCATTTTCCTGTCCATTTTAAGTTACCTTTCTAACTCAAAACGTTATACCGTATCTCCAAGCTGAAACATTAGGATCACCCCACTTCTACCAAACAAGTTTCACAGTTCAGTTCAACCCATACTCAAGGAGTTCACCAGCCCATCTGCAAAAGGTTACAGTGGCCATCTTTATGTCACAAAGCCTGAGGTTTTGCTAATTTTGTTTTAAGCTTGACTTTAAAACATATTCTGTACAGTTTTAATGGAAAGAAACCAAAGGGCTTTTCTATCAGCAATGGCTCGCGTAGGAGCGTACAGCACTTTGGTTCGGTTACGGTACCAACATTTCAACTGTCAGCAGTCTCCACGCCAGCGAAGAGGCACAGTCAAGGCATTCAGACTCCGTCAAGGTTTACTGTGCTTTTTTCAAGCAGAAAAGATATATGTTAGACCTCTGAAGAAGGGAACAGGAAGTAAAGGAATAGAAAAAAGCAGCACCGTTTCGGCTGTACTGCAGGTCAAACTACTGCCTCAAAACAGAGCTCATTACAGGCACTTGTTTTAAGAGTTAAGCATAAATAATCCCTTTCCAGGATTTGCAATCTCACTTTAATTTATAAATCTCACCATACCACCATTACAAAAATCTTCCACATTGTCTTCTAAAAAGCTTTTAAAAACCAAACTTAATTCTTTAAATAAATTTCTGTAAATGTCAGTATTTCTAGCATGCCAAAACAATTAACACCTCTGCAAACTACACAATGGGATATCTGAACAGGACTTCACAAGTATTTATCTTCACCAGATATTTATCAGGATTCACTTGTGTACCCAAAACAAATATGCAGTTGCCTCAGAGGCAAAATGGAGCCAATTTAGTTCTTTTTAAGCTACTTTAAAAAATAAGGCATTAAAATAATACAA